AAGTTGCCTCCACATAGTAATAATATGTGTTACGTTACATTAAGAGTTTAAGATTAAAAAAAAATATATTTATCTAAAGTTGTTTGGGACTATGATTTATGATTTAGAGTTGTTACCACATCTTTTACATTGCGCGTACGTAATAACTCTCTTGCATGGACACAAGGGCGGATGCAACACTTAGTTGAGGGTGGCCCAAATTTAAAAAAAAAATATTAATGTGAACAATTTTTGGATTTTGGCCCACCACCCTAACAGAAATTTCTGGATCCGCTACTACATGTACACCTTCTTGTTGAAGCCAAAATATTTTTAGCTTCTCAAGCATGTTTAGAGCTTCATGACATGGACTTTTTTGTATTTCCGTACTATCATCCTTTCTCTTCTTGTCTAATTGCAACAATAATTTCTTCTTCAGTTAAAGCATACACGATTTATTGCTAATTTGGATGATCAAGGAAGACATTAATATCCATTCGATTAATGTAGTGTAGTTGTTGAATCTGATCACTCAATTCTACAATGACTCTTTTATTCTCCTCATCCACTTCATTTGTAACTTGCAATTCATCGACATCGGGGGTCCTAATTTTCTAGTGCTTAAAACCATTGGCAATTGTCGTGGCTTCGCATCAATTGACTATGCATCAACTGCAATTACAGTTCCATCAATGACACTTATCTTTGTTGGTTCCAAAGACATGACCTTCCATCCATTTCAAAAGTAGGCAATTGAAGCGTTGAATTGAAATCCTAATACTACTAAAATATAAATTGAAATCCTAATACTTTATCACCAAAACATGAATTATAAAATAAGAAATCAAAACAATAATTTTTGTAATTACACCTCCATTAAGTTATAACCTCCCACATATATAAAATTAGTTGGTCTTACCATTATGATTATACACACACACACACACACACACACACACACACACACACACACACACACACACACATATATATATATATATATATAGTATTATAAATAAAGATATAACCAATTATATATAAGAGAGAGAGAGAGAGAGAGAGAGAGAGAGAGAGAGAGAGCCAATCCTACTTTGTAAATTGACTCTTTGTAATAATGTTTTATTATCAATAAAGACAATTTTCTATATCACGTGATTTGATTATATTCGTATAAGATAGTGATATATGTCCTTAGGATAGCAGAACTGTGACGAGGGTATTGAGTATTTGAACTCTCGATAGTGAGAACCATATGAGTACATATGGTGGCCATTCTAGAAACATCCATAGTCCCAGTATTGTCCTGACTTAGGGCACAGATAATATGATAAGACTATCATAGTGTTGGACGACCCTGTCGAAGGACAGTGATAGATCTCACTTATCAAGGTTGTTTGATGACGACCTGGTGCAACACATAGACCGGCCTACTGGAGGATTTCACATAGAAGGTTACCCTAGTGTCTGTGGAACAAATCCTCCAACGAAAGGTGGTGCATGTGATCTTTAGATTTGAGATCACCGGAGTGCCTTGTGCACCGATTGGTGTAGCTTGACACTAGCCTAAAGTAGTCCTCTCAAGAATATCCAAACGGTAGTGGTTGGCTGCATTGAAAAGTGTATCGAGACTATGGTGGATTGACAGAGGATTCATCACCCTTAAGAACGGGAGAAATTATCTCATTGCACAATTCGGTGAAAGGACAACGACAGTAAATCTGTGGCCATAGTGGGACTGAGTTGTTACTCAATCCAATTTGTTAAGGCTGTTGGTTCGAAGAACCAAATACAAAGATATCAAGGATATCCACCAAGGTTGACACTATTTCTATGCCTTAGCCTTGATGAGATAATAGATGATGAAGGGATTTGATTATACGGTAACCATATCGTTGATAGGTAGTGGTTCATTAAATCCGAATCTATCGGGTGGCCATGATGTCTGGCTATAGGCCAATCTTGGTTTCTGTTTAGTCGAACGATTGATTGATTTTTAATCGCGATACTATTCATTACTGATACGATGAAAAGCCTTCGGGTTTCACACATAGAAGACATATTAAGAACAAAATTCATAAGAGGGCTATTTTCGTCATTTATGATGAAATGACATTTTTCGTCTTTTAAGATGAAAAGACATTTTGGTAATCTCACAATGTAATGAGTGAGATTATATATTTAAACATTTAGTTTACATATATATATATATATATATATTTAAATATAATGGATATTATCTAATATTAATATTTATTATTAATATTGATAATGTGAAATTCACATTTGGTTTTTAAATTTGAACTAAAATGTTATGTTTGGTTGCAAGGGGAATCTATTCCAATATTCTAATTGGAATAGATGGCTATTCCAAATTGGAATAGGGTTTTAGTGTTCACTATTTAAGTGCAACTAAAATTAAATCATTTAATGAAATTAAATTGCAAAAATTGAAACCCTATCCACTCCTCTCTCTCTCTCTCAAAAATGCCAATCCCCTTTTGTGAGAAAGGAATTTTTCTTTGAAAGAAAAATTTTGCAGAAAATTGTTCTTGTAGTTTAGAGATTTCTCTAGCCTAGAAATCCCTCAACGACGGTAGTCCTGTATTTGTGTGGATACCGGGAGTGCATTTCTACATTGAAGTGATTTGCGATTCCAACATCAAATCAAAGGAGCCTCCAACGCTGGTACGATATACTTTACCTTTGATTAAATTCTTATGCAAAAATAATATATTCGACGTAAGGATCAATATGGGTTAAAGGTTAGCGGATCTTGAATAAAAATTTTAAAATTCCGCTACATAACGGATCCATTAACCTACAGTGGTATCAAAGCCTCTTATGCTTGATTTCATTATTTTTATTATTAATTGATTGATTAATGTCGATGATGATTATGTGATAATAACACACAACTTCAGATCATTAGGGCTTCATTAAGCTTGCATTGTTAGGCTAAGGTATTGGGTTATGAAGGAATATAAGGGATTCAAGCAATTAAGAGGAATAATCTTTCATTACAAAAGCATGATCACTCAACACTTATTCTCTCACATCCTAAACCATTATTATGATTAATTTATTATTATTATTATGTACCCTTTTCGTACTACCTTATTGATTTTTGATTTGATTTGATTTGATTTTTTTTTTTTTTTTTGGATCAATTAAGCAATTATAGAAATTTAGGAAGCATGGGTATCACCAAATTCCCATTTTTCCCACACAACAACCGCCAACCGGTCCTTTCGAACACCCTTACAAAATTTACACAATCTCAAAGCCACACACATTTTCACTTCCATAAATTTAGATTAATCCTCTTAAAAGAATGTCATGGGAAGGAAATGTGTTTAAGGGTTAAAACGGGCAGGTCATTACAAGTCAAAAGAAAGAAAATCGAGGCTAAATATATACCATAACAACTCAACGGGGTGACTAAGGATAATAACATATAGGGTTGGCTTGAAAAGCACAAACGGTCCAAAGATGACCTAAATCATTTCTTAAATCATGCATCATCTGGGATTTCACCTCAAGTGATCATCAAATAGGTTCTAGAGTTTTAGGAATCTCACAAAATCATAGGAAGTTTACACACAAAACACCTCTAAATGCTAGAACCAACCAACCAAACGAACCACACACCCGAGAGTTTCAAACTCAAGCAAAATCAACATCTAGAATAATTCTCAAATTAGTGTAAAAATGACCTCTTCTAGACACTACATGTCATTGCAATCATGCTATATCATGGACATTTAACATAATCCAAGAGCAAAAATCCCCACAAACTAAAAAAAAAAAAAAAAAAAATCACAGGCATACATAAATTTCATACTTTCCCACCCCCAACCAATTTCCTACATTGTCTCCAATGTAGCCATCAAATTAAGGTAGAGGCAAAAGGGAAAGAAACAAATTACCCCCCTTTATTAACAGATCGTAAAGTACCGGAAGTAACTCCACTGAATGCACATCCTGTAATCAACATGAAATCCACCAACACAAAAGACTAGCCACATTTCAACTCCTTTTATGTGATGCCATATCAAAATCAGAATATCGACACTCCCAACAATCAAATATCACACTACTCCTCAAACAGTTTCGCCCATTTCCCAATTACAGAGTAATCAAGCAACTACAAACTACCATTCTCAACACAATATGCAATAAGGTCACTATCCAATCACTATATTGCTCAAATCAATAGCCAAAGCAACCAATCAACTCAAAAGTCAAGATTTCATAATCAAATATCCAAATAAAATGACAAGTGAGCGATCCAGGATGCTTACCCATGTAACAATAGCAATCAAATACCTCGGATTGGAAATTGTTGCCCAAAATAAAAAATGCCCAAATCAATCCAGCTTTCAATCAATCTAAAGTCTGCAAAATCAATATAACGAAGTGTTTAGGATTTGTGTAGGATAATCAATCAGAAAATCTTGACAAAGAACTGAAGGAGAATCGAAAATCTAAGAAAGGTTTAGAGAAAATGGAGAAAATGTTCCGTGGCACAAAAATAAAATGCCTGCTCCTTATATAGAAATCGTGTTACGCCGTGGCATAAGTTTATGTGCTACAGCGTCACATGGTTTTTTATCGCACAATTTAACAGTTGTTGAAATGTGCCACGGCGTAATGTTTTGTGTCGCAGCGTCACATGGATTTTGCAAATTCAAAATCGTCGAAATCGTGCCGTAGTGCAAGGACTTGCGCTGCAGCATAAAAGCTAGTTTGCTACATCATTAACTTCAAAATTGTACCGCGGCATGAACCTCTTACACCGTGGCGTGGTTTGAATTTTTTGGAAAAATATCAATCAAGTGTTAAAATTTCATAAAAATTCAAACACACAAAATTAAATACAAAAAAAATAACGTAATCCTAATGAAAACAAAACAGTAACTTGAAATAAACTAAAAATGAAGAAAAATAATAAATTAAAACATTTGGGTTGCCTCTTGAAAAGTGCTTGTTTAATGTCTTGAGCTAGACAGAATGCTCGATCGTTATTCTGAGTTGTTGAGGAACACAACCTCCTTGTTTGGAGAAAAATTGTCCAAGTAAGCCTTCGGCCGGTGTGCATTAACTTTGAATCGGTTTCCTGTCTTCAAGTTTTCTATCTCCACCGCTCCATGAGGGAACACTTGACGAACTTTAAATGGCCATATCCATTTTGATCTCAAATTCCTTGGAAAAAGACACAATCGTGAGTCATAAAGCAACACTTTCATACCTAGATGGAACTCTTTCCGCTGTATTACTTTGTCATGGTAAAACTTAGTTCTTTCCTTGTAGATCTTCATGTTCTCATATGCTTCATTCCTAAGCTCATCCAGCTCATTCAGTTGCAATTTCTGTTCTTCTCCAACCTTGTCCATGTCAAGGTTCAATCTCTTTATAGCCCAATATGCCCGATACTCCAATTCCATTGGTAACTGGCATGCTTTCCCAAAGACTATCCTGTAAGGACTTATCCTAAGTGGAGTCTTGAAAGCCATCCAATATGCCCACAAAGCATCATTCAATTTCAAAGCCCAATCTTACCTTGACATGTTCACCATTCTTTCCAAAATGGTCTTAATTTGCTTCTTGCTCACCTCTACTTGCCTTGAAGTTTGAGGATGATAAGGTGTTGCTACTTTATGTGTAATGTTGTACTTTTTCAATAACGCTACAAAGGAATTGTTACAAAAGTGACTACCCGCATCACTAATAATAGTTCAAGGGGTACTATAACGGGTAAAAATCAAATGCTTAAGAAAATTAAGTACGACCTTACTATCATTGGTTTTTGTGGCAATCGCCTTAATCCACTTTGAAACATAATAAACAACCACAAGTATATAAGTGTAGCCAAAAGAGTAAGGATATGGACCCATGAAGTCGATGCCTCACACATCAAACAACTTAATCGCCGTGAACATTGAGAGCAGCATCTCATCTCTTTTGCCAATATTTCCCGTCCTTTGGCATTGATCACATCCTACACAAAAGATAAAAGCATCTTTATATAAAGATGGCTAATAAAATCCAGACTACAATACCTTAAGTGTCGTCTTTTTTCCACCAAAATGTCCTTCACCAAGTGATTCATGGCTGTGTCTCAGAATGCTCTATTGCTCTGAATTGGGAACACATCTCCTTATTATTTGATCTAGATAGCTTTTAAACAAATAAGGATTGTCCTAGAAGTAATGCTTAATCGTGGATAAGAATCTCTTCTTTTCCTAAAAGGTCAAATTAGACTTAATTATACCATATGTAAGATAATTAACAATGTCAGCATACCAAGGCTCTTTCCCATGGATGGAAAAGAGTTGCTCATTAGGGAATGTTTCAATGAGGGGATACTCCCCATCTTGATTACGCTTTTCATGGCTTGTTGTCTCCACAAGTCTACACAAGTGGTCAGCCACTACATTCTCGCTTCCCTTCTTGTCCTTGATAGTCAAATCAAATTCTTGCAACAATACAATCCATCTAATCAACCTAGATATAGGATCCTTTTTACTCAATAGATATCTCAATGCAGCATGATTAGAATACACAATCACTTTAGAACCAATCAGATGAGAGCGAATTTTTTCTAAAGGAAACACAATAGCTAAAAATTCTTTTTTAGTGGTGGAGTAATTAATCTATGCATCATTCAAAGCCCTACTTGCATAGTGAATAACATGATGCAATTTTCCTACTCTCTGTCCTAAAAATGCCCTTAATGTATAATCAAACGCATCACACATCAACTCAAATGGAAGGGACCAATCAAGTGACATAAGGATAGGTGCAGCTATGAATTTATCTTTTAGAATATTAAAAGCATTCAGGCATTGACATTGAAATCAAAAGGTGTTTCTTTAGCCAAGAGATTACATAATAGCATACTAATCTTGGAAAAATCCTTTATGAACTGCCTATAGAAACCTCCATGACCAAGAAAACTCCGCACACCCTTCACAAATGTGGGTGGCGAGAATTTAGCAATCAAATCAACCTTAGCCTTATCTACTTCAATACCCCTACTAGATACCACATGCCCTAGAACAGTTCCTTGCTTCACCATAAAGTAAGTCTTTTCCAACTCAAGGTCAAATTTGTTTCAACACATATTTTCAAAATTAAAGTCAAATTATCAAGGCAATTGTCAAATGACAAACCAAATACAGAAAAGTCATCCATAAATACCTTAATAAATCTCTCAATCATATCAAAAGAGATGGACATCATACACCTTTGAAACGTGCCTGGAGCATTGCACAATCCGAAGGGCGTCCTCCTATACGCAAAGGTTCCAAATGGACATGTGAATGTCATCTTCTCTTGATCCTCCGGAGCAGTAGGAATGTACCCAGAAAACCCATCAGGGAAACAATAGTAAGAATAACCAGCCAATCTTTCAAGCATTTGATCAATGAAAGGGAGAAGAAAATGATCATTTTTAGTTGCAGCATTTAATTTCCTGTAATCAATGCAAACCCTCTAACTTGTAGTCATCCTAGTCGGCACTAACTCATCATCAAAATTGTTTACCACAGTAATGTTTGACTTCTTTGGTACCACATGAACTGGACTCACCCACTTACTGTCTGAAATAGGATAAATGATTATAGCGTCAAGTAGTTTCAACACCTCAACTCTCACCACCTCTTGCAAATGCAGATTCAACATTCTTTGAGCCTCCTTAATTGGTTTGGAATCTTCCTCCAACAACACCTTATGCATGCACATAGTAGGGCTAATTCCCTTGATGTCTGCTATTGTCCAACGTATGGATGCCTTATGATCACTCAACACCTTCAGCAATTTCTCCTCCTCCTCTAAGATAAGATATGAAGCTATAACCACTAGAAGGTTTTGATCTCTTCCTAAGTAAACATACTGAAGGGTAGGTGGTAATGGCTTTAACTCAAGCTTAGGTGGGGATTCAATGGAAGAAACTAGCTTAACATCTACACGTTCAATCGCCATCCTCAACTCCTCATTAGACATCTCCCTAATCTCCCTATCCAAAACCGCCACATACTCCCTAGCCTCATCATCACTCAACTCATCATCATTTGTTGTCAAAGCTAACTCCAATTTATCTTTATTCTCTTCCTGCAGAAAACTAGACAAAATGATAGGATCTGAAAAATCAACAAGATAACAATCATTAGTTTCTAAAGGTAAAGGCGAAGACCTGAAAACTAAAAATTCAACGGTTTGATCAAGAACCGTCATTCTTAGCTTTCCATTTTGCACATCGATGATATTCTTTGTTGTGGCCATGAAGGGATGTCGCAGCAAAATAGGCAACTCACTACTATGGTCTAAAGTATGCTCCATATCTAGCACTACAAAATCAACTGAAACAATTAGTTTGTCAACTTGAACTAAAATATCTTCAACAATACCTCTTGGATATTTCACTGAACAATCAGCCAATTGTAAGGTCATTGTTGTACATTTTAGTTCCCCAGACCCATCTACTAATAGATGGAATATGGCATGAGGTTAATAATTGCACCCAAGTCCAACATCGCTCTTTCTTCCTTCTTATTACCAACAGTGATGTTGATAATAAAACTCCCTGAGTCTTTTAGCTTGGATGGTAACTTGCATTGGAGCACGACACTCATAGTCTCTGAAATCATAACCTTCTCATTCGGCTCATACTTACTCTTGCGGGTTTTCAACACCTTGAAGAATTTGGCATAAGCTGGCATGTTCCTGATCATATCATGCAAGGGTAAGTTACATTAACCTTAGATAAAATGTCATAAATATCAGAAAATGACTTATCCCATTTGCTTTTAGTCAAACAACTCAGAAAAGACACGAGTGGAACATAAGTCTTCAGTGGCACATATGGAGGATCGATCTCTTCACTCTGAACAGGTGCACTTGGCTGCTTCTCCTCAGCTTTTTCTTTACCTGCATGATCAAACAAAGGCTCATTACTTTCAGAATTTATGTTCTTGTTAATTACCTGACCATTTCTAAAAACTGTGACTTCTTTCGCTTGCTCGGATTGGCTTGATAACTTCCTAAGGACATGGCCTTGTAATGACTCTGCAATTTGTCCTATCTAGACCTCCATCCTCCTTATGGATGCATCCTACTATTGGAATCTCTATTCAAAGTTTTTATTTTTCTTTTGAGACACTTGAATAAAACTATTAAGTGTTTCCTCCGATGAGGCTTCTTTTGCTGCATGCTGTGATTAGAACTTCCTTGTTGTTGATTGTTTCTCCATGAAAAATTTGGATGATTCCTCCAACCAGGATTCCAATAACAGGTGTCAAAGACATAAACCAACTTCTTAGTTCAACAGTCTTTGCATGAGAATAGAATTTACCTATGAACTTGTTGTAGACTGCATCCCAAGTGGCAAGTGAACCTAGTATCAAAGACATGAACCAATTCTTTGCTATGTCCTTCAATGTGTAAGGAAAACATCTCATCCACAACTGATCTTCACTCAGATTCTGCAAAGGAAAAGTCTGCAAAGTTGAGTAAAAATCATGAATAAATAGCAAAGGATCTTCAGTGGCCATCCCATGGAATGAAGGAAGCATCTGAAAATGAATATTTTTTAGCTCCTAATTCCTTGTTGCGACACTCAAAACAATACAAGAGGGTGACGTTCCAATGGTAGGGCGCACATACTCCTTCATTGGGCGAGGTAAATTCGCCATTTGTTCTTCAAATTTTGAACTTGATTCACTTGGCTCTTCCGACTCTTCTAAAATTTCTGGTTCTCTTCTCTTCCTACGGATCAAATTCACTATATCAAGGTGAGGAAGTACTTCTTTGTCTAACGATCTGCGACCTTGCATTTAAAAACTCAAAACACCAAAAAAAAATTGTAACACAAAAATAAACAAAATCACAATAAAATAACTAAAACGAAAGCACAAATATCAAAGAAATTAAATAACTCAAACAAATCCCCAGCAATGGTGCCAAAAACTTGTTGAGAAAACTAACAAAGTCTAATCCTCGCAAGTGCACGAATCGCAACTATAGCCTAGTGTGCAAAGCAAGGGTCGATCCTATAGGGAATTGGGAGCTATTAATAAATTTAACATTGTGCAAAAATCAACCAAGATAATGAAATTAAGAGAAATAATAAAAAGGACCAGCAACCTAAATTAATCTAAAATCACAATAAAAACGCTAAAATTACCAAATATAACAAAAATGAAAAATAAATTACTAAATGTAACAAAAACGTTAACTAAACAAAAGATCAAAAAATGGGTAACAGTCCAGTGTATCCAATTTCACCGTATTCGTCATACTCTATGTTATTAATCTAATCAATGTTCTTTGAATTCAAATCTTAGGGTCGATACTCACCAAAATAAGGTATTTCCATGGGCGTTCCGATTTAACCTAGTATTTTCATTAACCAAACTAGCTAGTGGCGTATAGCCTAGTCCAACTACGAAAACCCATTAAGCAAAAGAGTACCCAACCATTCACAAACCAATTTACACCTGTCGAGGGCGTCGCA